CAGACAAACGACATTCCCCTCAGAAACCTTTTTATGTTGGACAATTAGTTTATCTTTCAACAAAATATATACGATTAAAGTTGCCCAGTAGAAAATTGGGTCCAAAATTCCTTGGTCCTTTTTCCATCACTAAGATCATAAACCCTGTCACAGTGGAGTTAAAACTTCCACGATTGTTGGGAAAAGTTCATCCTGTGTTTCATTGCAGTGTATTAAAACCTGTGTCAGAATCCCCTTTAAGACCTCTTCCAAAAGAACCACCGGGTCCAGTGGTGGTAGAGGGGGAGACGCATTATGAAATAAAACGTATTCCCGATTCTAGGTTGTACAAGGGAAAGTTACAATACCTTGTTCAGTGGAAAGGTTACACCCTTTCAGAAGCTACATGGGTGAAATGTACAAATGTGAAAGCGGATAGATTGATTAAAAAGTTTTACGATAAATACCCTCACAAGCCTCGAGGGAATGCTTAACCTGCTTTTTCTTTCCCCTGCAGGAGACTCTTTCTGAGAGGAGCCGACTGTCAACTCTAAAAATGAGCATGGCTGTGGCCATTTTCCCTATTCATTTTCGGTTGACACATAGAATGGAGGGAGGGTGTTTGCCAGGTGCTTTGCTAGTCTAAATAAACTTTTATCCTGTGGGAACCAAGGTCATTGGCTGCTCCCGAGACTGCAAGCTGGGCGTTGCGTAAAAAGCCCGCCAAGAAGATGTATTGGGGAATGTAGTTGCTTGCATAGCCTTAGGGGTGGGATTTTTAACTTTGTATTGGGGAATTGTTACGTGTGTCTCCAGACTTGGTTTCACTTTTGACGTGCCAATACTTTGTAACTAATAAACATGTTTGAGGAATTTGTAAGCCTTGGAGATCTGCTTTATTCGTCTCTGTCGAAACCATGACACCCAGATTGACAGTTATTTAGTGTTTCTTCCATTTGCGAATAATTGCACCAACTTCTCACCAAGCTGCTTGGCGATAGTCTTGTAGCCCATTTCAGCCTTGTGTAGGTCTACAATCTTGTCCCTGACATCCTTGGACAGCTCTTTGGTCTTGGCCATGGTGGAGAGTTTAGAATCTGATTGATTGCTTGCTTCTGTGGACAGGTGTCTTTTGTACAAGTAACAAGCTGAGATTAGGAGCACTCCCTTTAATAAAGTGTGCATAATCTCAGCTCGTTACCTGTATAAAAGACACCTGGGAGCCAGAAATCTTGCTGATTGATAGGGGATCAAATACTTATTTCACTCATTAAAATGCAAATCAATTTATAACTTTTTTGAAATGCGTTTTTCTGGATTTTTTGGTTATTATTCTGTCTCTCACTGTTAAAATAAACCTACTATTAAAATTATAGACTGATTATTTCTTTGTCAGTGGGCAAACGTACAAAATCAGCAGGGGATCAAATATTTTTTTCCCTCGCTGTAATTGTGCACACATAGATATTCTCCTAAGAAAGCCAAAACCTCACATTTACTTTCTTAAATATTCAGGTTTGAGGTTTATTAACATTTTGGATTGACCAAGAGCACTGTAGTTATTCAATAAGAAAATTAATCCTCCAAAATATAACTTGCCTAATAATTGTGCCCACAGTTTATAGAGCATGGATACTTCACACAGAAAAGGGAAGATGGTTTTTACATAACCTTCTCCCTGATTTATACCACTTAATTTATTTGGGAATCATCTGAGGGTGGGGTTTTTTGGGGGGAGGGGAGGCTGATTATCAAATTAGATTTGCAAACCATTTTGTTTTTATTACCACGTTTGCAGTGATGGGATGTGTGAAACTGCATTTTCAGAACTTGTATATGCTTCTCAGTAGACAGTTAACACACACTATTGGAAGTGAAGTTATCAGATGCTTGTATATTGATGCTTGCATGGTCAGCCATCTGTAACACTGATCTAACAGAGAAACTACCTGTTCTACACTAGGGTTGGCACATAAACATATTAGATTTATGTTAGACTACCCCATGAAACTTGTTGTTTAGTGATCATACAGTTTATCTTAGCCAGCAAAAAATGTGCACATCTAAGGTTGCTTCTTTTATTTTAACAGAAATTAAGCAATGTAGAATAAATCCAGTGGTAGAAAACAGGACATTCTGTAACAACAGTTGCTTCTGGAAGGTCTTACCATGTTTAGTTTATGTAAAAAAAAATATGAGATGCTGATAATACACAATATAATCATATTTGTTTCTATAAGTACAGTGGAATTTTTATGAAATGCCACATACTAGCTTTTATGTCATAATTAAAAACTTGCTGTAGGGGCTTTTCATGGCACAGTACTTGTCCAGATCCTATTCATGTCAATGGACTTGTACATTACAGAACCTCCTTGTAGATCAGTGGTTCTCAACCTGTGGGTCGGGACCCCATTTGGGGTCGATCGACCATTTCATGGGGGTCGCCAAGCAAGGCTGTCCGCCATTTTTTTTGTCCGCCATTTTTTTGTCCGCCATTTTTTTCCCCTTTTCCAGCGGGTGCCTTACCTCCCTTGGGCTGGGCCAGCTGGTGGTCGGCCTGCTCCGTCTCTGCCGCTTGCCAGCTACGCCTCGGCCGGCGCAGGGGGCGGAACCACGCATGCGCGGCGCTCCCGGGCAGGGAAAGTCCTCGACTTACGACCGGTT